TCAGAAATTTCCATGTGCTCAATGGCCGCTCAAGAGAAAAACTGAATCATGGGAGAGCGTGTTCCACGTGGTTCCGGATAATACGTCATCAGTAGAGTTTATTATCCGGCGCTTAAAAAAATATGCGGGTTTATATGGTCAGATAGAGATTATCTAAGGCAGTGTCAGGTAGGAGAAGTATTTACGAAATAAAAATGAACAATAGCAAAACAGAAATCATCATTTATGGTACAAGACATCAGCTGAAGAAATTGAACATTTCCAGTGTCAATGTTGGTGGGGTCGAAGTCAACTGTGTTGACAATGTGAGAGACCTTGGAGTACAGATGACCAGCACTTTAAGTTTTGACAACCATATTCAAAAGAAGTGTCAGATTGCACACATGCAGTTAAGAAATTTGAAAGCAATCAGAAAACATCTCACTCATAAATCTGCAGAAATCCTTGTTCACGGTTTGATTCATTCACATTTAGACTTTTGCAATGGATTATTCGCTGATATTCCAGCCTATCAACTTGATAAATTACAACGTGTGCAAAATTATGCTGCTAGAATTGTCACTGGAGCTGCTTACTATCAATCCAGTGCTGAAATTCTTAAATCACTCCACTGGCTTCCAATTCGAGCAAGAATCATGTACAAAGTTATTGTGACTGTGTTTCGTGTTGCAAATGGCACCGCTCCATTGTATCTTCGTAAATTGTTCACTAAATGCCAGAGTCAGTACAGGAAAAGACTGAGATCCTCATCATCTAGCCACATTCGGTTTGATATACCATCAACAAATTCAAAACTTGCTGATAGATCCTTGGCCATTGTGGGACCTAAATGGTGGAATTCATTGCCAGACTATCTGAAGGACATTACCAATGAAAATCAGTTTAAGGCCAAACTTAAAAAATACTTGTTTGGACTGTTTTTCAACTAGAGTTGTAGATTGGCTGTGCCATCGAGACTGGGTTTGGGAGTGTCTTGATCAAGCATATGTGTATATAGTCTTAATAATGTACAGCGCAATCGAATATTTAATACATTTTTGCGCTATATAAATGTCTTGTATTTGTATTTGTATTTGTATTATGCTCCGGACAAGGAAAAGTAACAAAGGGCAATAACTCTGTAATTAGTGAAGATGGAGTTATGGTTCTTGTGCACTGCACTTCCTCTCAATGTGCTTGACCATTGTCTGAAGTTATATTGAATTCCAACCATTAGTCTTCAAGTTATGGTCCGGAAAAAGAAAGCAATGGAAAAGTAACAAAGGGCAATAACTCTGTCATTACTTTAGATAGAGTTATGGTTCTTGAGCACTGCACTTCCCCTTATTGTGCTTGACCATTGTATGAAGTTGTTTTGAATTCCAACCAGTAGTTTTCAAGATATGCTCCGGACAAGGAAAAGTAACAAAGGGCAATAACTCTGTAATTAGTGAAAATGGAATTGTGGTTCTTGAGCACTGCACTTCCTCTAAATGTGCTTGACCATTGTATGAAGTCATATTGAATTCCAACTACATGTATTAGTCTTCAAGTTATGCTCCGGACAAGGAAAATGCAACGGACGGCTGGACTCTTATATACCCCCCCCCCCAAACTTTGTTCCGGGATTTAATAACATGTAGAAATTTTAACTGAAACATGAAAAAAACTGAATTAAAACACCATTACCGTGGTTTAAATGATGACATACTGTTTTCAAAATGGCCGACATGGTCTACGTCTGGCTCATTTAAACTGATTTTGACTAAATATATTGTCGTTTCCTTGTGTCATACAACAGAAAATACCTATATGTTATAGATTATGACAATTTTTGTACCATAAGTTTCATGTGTTGCTTTCTTTCTTGCTTCAAAACGTTAAGTACCGTGAACTAAGAGGAGCACTGTTTAATTACAATATTTACCAGGTATTTTTAGCCAGGATTTCATTTCATTTTGAGCTTTTTCCAGCACAATATCTGGTGTTACTACTTCATCTACAAGACCAACTTTGAAAGCTTGTTCTGTGGTCATCATTAAACCTTTCTGACAGGCCAGTTCTGTCTGTCTATATCCAATCACACCTTCCATAGAATCTACAAACCTGAAATATTATCATCACTTAGTTTGCTTTTCAATGATTCAAAGGTTATGTTTTTTAACCTGTTGGTAAGTTTTTACACAAATTTAATTTCATAAAAACACTGCCTTACTGACTGTAAAACACATTGTGTCTTAACAAATTAACAAATTATTCAGTCACTCAGTTCCATCATTACACCTACTATCAGCTGTACAAAAATCCTTTAAATATAAGCAAAACTGATACTTTTAAATATTCATTTAAAGTCTTACAAAATATGATTTCTATGATGGTCAAATTGAAACAAACAACTTTATACATTTAATTGTTTAAAAAACAACATAACAAATCACTTACCAGAAGGGAGGAATGATGCCCTAAAATAATAATGATAAAAGTAACATATAAATAAAATCATGAAAATTGACAGAACATCTTTAATAGAACAGTAACAGTGTGGGAAAAAACTCTACAGTTATAAGAGTTGAATTTATGAAAACTTCATTTATGCTTAAAATTTAAAAATTAAAATTTGCTTCAAAACATATGTTTCTACTTCATTTTTATCCACATTTCTTAAGAACTCAAATTAAGGATCACTGATTGTTTTTAGAAAACAAATTACTTTGCAATGTTTTCACTTTAGTTCTTCTGCACAAATATTTGTAGAGATTATGTAGAGAAATTGGAAATGTAGAGCAAAAACATGATTATCAATATCATGAAAATGGGGTGTCCATGGCCGAGTGGTCAAGGTATTTGACTTCAAACCACTTGCCTCTCACCGCTTTAGGTTCAAGTGGTGCAAGTGTCTTCATGTGAGAAAGCTATCCAGCTAGCTTACGGAAGGTCGGTGGGCACAGAGGGGCAACTGACGTCTTGCTCCACCAGTAAAGCCGGAAAGTCAACATGACCTATACTGTGTTGGTACAACATGAAAAACTCAACCAAAAAAGAAAAGAAAATAATGAGACCAATGTGATGTACAATAAACAAAATTTGAATATACAATACTTTTATGAGACTGTTTTTACTTTATTCTACATGTCTATGCTATTGTACATACCAATTGTGTTTCATTTAGCCCTATAGTGAAGTTTTGAACCATAATTCTATAGTCACAACATGTAGCTAACAAACATCCACCAGCTGGACTGTGGCCCTGAAATAATATCAAAAATATCTTCTTGTAAATTATGTGCATATAACTTGACACTGAAATATTCAATGTGTTTGAACAATTTAACATTTCTGAAATTAATTACGAGTATATTAAGTCTATACACATTAAAATTGTAGAAAGTTATACTGCAATGATGACTTTAAATTTAAACTTTTGTTTACAACAATTGCACAATTATTTTAGTCTGACATAATCATTTTTTTATATCTGTTTCCTGTACTTCAATGGAAACAGTAAATAGTTTTTGCTTCAATGTCAACAGTATACAGTATTTCTAGTTGTCAAGCATTTAATGAAAAAACAATTTTTTTCATGAATATTTTTATTTCACATCAAAAAGAGAAAATATTCACATATTTTCATTTTCTCAATTTTCAGTGTGATATATGTCACATATTTAATCTCTATATATTTACATTGATGGCAGCAATAGTGGCCAGTCTCGTGTTGTACAAGCTGATCCAAACACTCTGTAACATCCTCCAGAATTCTGTCAGACGATCTCTCTGTGGGTTATACATCTCCATTATATCTAAACCAGCACAAAATATCTTATTGTTGCTCTGAAATAACAACATGCAGACTATATACCTAAATATTTATTACTGAGTTATTAATCTGAATGACAAAGAATTAAACTTACAAGAACAAATATTAATTTACATAAAGTTGACTGAGAATCTTGACTAAAGATGCTACAGATTAAGACTGACAAGCATTCATCCCTTGGTTCATGCAATAAAGTCATTTAACATATAGAATTCTGTTATAACATTTATGGCCCCTTAAACACAACTATATGAGAGCAATAATGTTATGGTTCTTTATGCGGTCAATCCTCATAAATTATATAGATGTAGCTTTATGTTGTTGGAAGGCTAGTAGTTCCTCTTTTGATTGGCTTGACATCGCCAGCTTTTTTAGTGAAAAACCCTGCCAAAAAAGATGCCAGATTTTGCTTTATCTTATGTATCTCATAATCTGCATTTACCTAAGTAGAAATAGTAAGGCTGTTTAACACTTATGTTGGTACAATATGCATTTTGATTCTTATATTCCTAAAATGATACAAGTACCAACCTTATGTAGCATGTATGCACATTTGTATATACAATTTACTTACTGATGTCAAAATAAGGCCTTTACACGTTTTATCATTTTCTAATTTCTCCAACAAAATATTGATTTCTGTAAGAAACTCCAGATTAAGGCTGTTCACTGGGGGCCGGTTCATTTTCACAACTGCAACACCTGGAAATAATTTCTTATACATACACATGAACTCAATATTGTCACCTTAGTGCAGTAACTGGTTAACTTGTAATGTAATTTAATTGGAGTTAACCGGTAACTGCACTAAGGTGATGATATGTATTATTGTCTTACATTACAATATACAAACATATAAAGAATCACTCCCTATTAATAAAAAAAATATATGATGCCAACATTCAGCAGAACCATCAACAATAAAGGAACTCCACAACTAATCAAGAACAGAAAAACTAAGAATATCAACAAAACACAGAAGATCCACATGGGCATTGAAACTATGGACTTTAAAATACCAGAACCTTTATCCCCATTAAATCCAAGTAAGGACAACAGCTCAGAAACCTTATGTGAAGATGAATTTGGACAGTATAGTAACATCCATGAACAGATAATTTCTATTGGATCCATTTATGGTATTTTTAATGAAACTAAGTAGGACTTAATTACAACATATATATTTCATTTTAGACTTAATAACAACATATTGGCAAAATTCGAAAAAATTCTTGGCATACTTCCAGAACTAAACCAAATATAGTATTGTCACATGACTTTTTAGTTTACACATTTTGTATACTTCAGGGCCAAAATTTTAAAATATTTCTGCATTATCCTGATGAAGGTCATTATATGACCGAAACCGGTAGATAAATAAATTAACGTAAACCCACTCTGGTGTTCCTGACGTGTTGTTCTTCATCCCTTCCTTGATTACATAGTTTAAAAAAAATATATGTTAAATATGCTTATTTGATTTGAATGTATACTTTTAAGCACATGTGTGTCAACTAAGAAATGACCTTTTTAATTCAACAATAAGGAATGCTGCCTTGATTACAATAACAGAAGGAAATTTGATTCATTTATTATTGTAAATTGAAATGAACATGTATTTAATTTAATTTCATAACTTGTCAGGTCCAAATCAATGGCTCAGCGCAATACTGGTCTAACTGCTATTTTTGAAAATGTTCAGGAGAGACAAAAAACTGATTTTATTCAAAAATACTTATATTATAAAACTTTTTTTTTGCTATGTTAACGTTAATTATAACAAGATATGTTTTTAAAACATGTATGCCCCCTATCTGCAGCCAATTAGTCATGTGATAAGGTTATTATGCATGACTTCTGACCCAGTGATCAAACAATTAATAAGGGTTATCAAGTATCTACTGGTCATGACCTTAACCTTTGACCCCTTGACCCAAAACTCAATAGGGGTCATCTGCTGGTCATGACCAAATCATCATACAAAGTTTGAAGTTCCTAGGCCTAAGCGTTTTTAGTTAATTGATCGGAAACCGTTTTATTTACAAGGTCAATGTGACCTTGACTTTTTGACCCCTTGACCCAAAATCAATAGGTCATCTGCTGGTCATGACCAATCACCATACCAAATTTGAAGTTCCTAGGCCTAAGGGTTCTTTAGTTATTGATCAGAAACCATTTTTTAACATACAAGGTCAATGTGACCTTGACCTTTGACCCTAAAAATCAATAGGGGTCATCTGCTGGTCATGACCAATCACCATGCCAAGTTTGAAGTTCCTAGGCCGAAGCGTTCTTTAGTTATTGATCAGAAACCGTTTTTTACTTACAATGTCAATGTGACCTAGGACCTTTGACCCCTTGATCCCAAAATCAATAGGGTAATCTGCTAGTCATGACAAATCACCACACCCAAGTTTGAAGTTCCTAGGCCTAAGCGTTCTTAAGTTTTTGATCAGAAACCGTTTTTACTTACAAGGTCAATGTGACCTTGACCTTTGACCCCTTGACCCAAAACTCAATAGGGGTCATCTGCTGGTCACGAATAATCATCATACAAAGTTTGAAGTTCCTAGGCCTAAGCGTTTTTAGTTAATTGATCGGAAACCATTTTTACCTACAAGGTCAATGTGACCTTGACCTTTGACCCCTTGACCCCAAAATCAATAGGTCATCTGCTGGTCATGACCAATCACCATACCAAGTTTGAAGTTCCTAAGCCTAAGGGTTCTTAAGTTATTGATTGTAAAGCATTTTAACCTACAAGGTCAATGTGACCTTGACCTTTGACCCTTTAACCCCAAAATCAATAGGGGTCATCTGCTGGTCATAACCAATCACCATACCAAGTTTGAAGTTCCTAGGCCTAAGGGTTTTTTTGTTATTGGTCAGAAACCGTTTTTACCCAAGAGGTCAATGTGACCTTGACCTTTGACCCCTTGACCCCAAAATCAATAGGGGTCATCTACTGATCATGACCAATCACCATACCATGTTTGAAGTTCCTAGGCTTTAAAGTTCTTAAGTTATTGATCGGAAACCGTTTTTGCTTACAAGGTCAATGTGACCTTAACCTTTGAACCATTGACCCCAAAATCAATAGGGGTCATCTACTGATCATGACCAATCACCATGCCAAGTTTGAAGTTCCTAGGCCTTAAGGTTCTTTAGTTATTGATCGGAAACCGTTTTTGCTTACAAGGTCAATGTGACCTTGACCTTTGACCCCTTGACCCCAAAATCAATAGGGGTCATCTACTGATCATGACCAATCATCATACAAAGTTTGAAGTTCCTAGGCCTAAAGGTTCTTTAGTTATTGATCGGAAACCGTTTTTGCTTACAAGGTCAATGTGACCTTGACCTTTGACCCCTTGACCCCAAAATCAATAGGGGTCATCTACTGGTCATGACAAATCACCATACCAAGTTTGAGGTTCATAGGCCTAAGGGTTCTTTAGTTATCACTCGGAAACCATTTGGTCTACGGACCGACGGACCGACGGACCGACAAGTGCAAAGCAATATACCCCCTTTTCTTCGAAATGGGGGCATAATAAGAAATAATGCCATTTATATAATTTTTTATTAAAATGTTACAAATTGTGTATTTTAGAGTTAGACTTTTATTGCGCTGAAATTCTGAGCGCAATACAAGACTAACTTCAAGTTAGACTCAAATTCCCTCTTGCAATTTGGTAAGTTAGACCTGTTGTATGTTAAATATTCCGATATAAATGAAATTTAAAATTTGAACAAAATTGTTTTATTAATTTAAACATTGTTTAAAATATTCTGCAAGTCTGTAGAAGAACTTTACAAAGACTAAATCCTTTAATATTTTTCTATTAATATATCATGCGAGCTGACTTTAGATGAAAGTACACTAAAAGTCTTCTTTCTTCTTTTTCAATTTGTTTGAGATTCAGATTTACTTAAGATCTTTTGCAGATTAATTATCTGTGCAATAAATTTGAATTCTAAACAAAATGCAAACAGTTTTGATTCATATAGTGTAGTGTAACGGTCAAAGTCACGAACAATGATGACTGACGATCCAGGTATATATCATGATATCATAAAAGTTTGAAAACAGGGATTAATGTACATTTTGTATAACTCACATTTGTACAAAGAAGACACATTTTATTTTCTCAATGCACACCATTACCACCATTGGTGCTTAAATGCTGTCATTCCGATATTATTGTTATGCCGCTAAATCTTAATGAATTTAATGTTATGTGGTCCTCTTTTTCTGATGATATAATCATTTATAAATATCAAATATTTTCAAAAATGAAAACCGCTGTTCGACCATGCTTTTTATTACAACTTTTGTATTTACTTTCTCAACTGTTTTAGAATATATTTTGAAAGTATTAATGTGCAAATTGTATGACATGTTTTGCTGAAAACTGTGCATATCTTAAGAAAAGTGTTTCATTTCATATTATCAAAGTCATTTTACCTCTAAATTTTGACCAAATAACAAGAGGTTGTCAAACATATTTTTAGAGAAAAAAGTAGGGGCAGTACAACCCACTATCAGGGATTCATAGAACAAAGTATTGTTAGCACATTGATATAATTCAGAATCATTTTTGTAAAGTTAGATGTTCTTTAAACACTTGCAACCACTTACTTCATTCAGATATGAAAAGGCACACACCTGAAGCACCATGTGCACACCTTAGATTAGCACTAAACAATTAGAATGGAAAATGTTTGATTTTCTCATTGATACTGATACTATACCAAAAGCAGTTTGATAGTCATTACATTTTTTAATTTTCATTAAATTTGATAGATAAAATTAATGGCTTTTAGATCTAAAATGAAACATTTTTATCAACTTATAGCTGTTTCTGCCACACAAGTCAAAGAGTTTTTGACAATTGCACTCTTAAAAATACAATGGAGCTGTGTGATGTAAAAAATTATCAGAATACAAGAACTGAAAAGGTCATTATAATATATAAGTGTGCATATTTGGATTTTTTCTGCACATATCATTTCAGACAGAAAGATATTGTATCAATAATACAGTATAAGTATTGTGAAGAGTGTGATTTGCACATGTTGACACTATGTTGTTATTGTATTGTTTGAGTTGATAGTGTAAAGTTTATATTTCTAACACGACCCGCATTTTTCCCTATTTTTCCCAATCACTGTTTGATGTTCTATATTTAGACGTGTGACATAAACATTATACACGTGACGTAACCACTAAAAATATGAGGCGCTGACAATAAGAACGGAAACAAATCCGGCGCAATTTAGCTAAGTATCAGGTACAGCGGCATTTACCGGTACTTGTTAATGTCGTGTTAGAATCGAAATAATATATCCAAATCGGTGATTTTATTGCTTGATAACATTACTGTTTGTCGTTCGGATGCGCATCATGATATCACTCGGGCTACGCCCTCGTGATATAATTCCTTGCATCCGAACTCCAAACAGTGATATTATTGAGCAATAAAATCACAGTTTGGGAAATATTATTTCTTAAATAACTTTACTTGATTAAAGTTACATTAAATAAATTTCATAAAAAACTAAATAGCGACATTTCATTAATAAATTGGGTTTTATATCGACTCCAGGTCTTATTTTGGTGTCCAAACAACCAAAATGAGTTTTATTAGCATAAAAATAGGTAACCTCATTGTGGCGAAATGGGAAAAACAATTTCTGTTTGCATGAGAAACTCCGCCTTCGGATCATCCGTACATCAATATTAAATCAACAATCATGACTATAAGTAGCAGTCCTAATTTAACGGTATATTTCCGCATTGTAACTGGATGTTTTCATACAAATTTAATCTTTTTACGAGATTATTACTTTTACTGAACCCCAGGTTTAGTGCACCGTGAAGCTTAAACGGTTTTAAGTGTGTTTGCACAAGAAAATATCACATTTGCTGTGTTCGGATAGCAACTATTAAAAACTGTGACGTAGCGCATACATGAGCTCATTATAGTCTTCATTTGCATGTTAAAATTCGTATACGAACTTTAGTGGTACCGTGGGGTTTCCCGTTTAAAATCCTTATTTATGAACAATATTTGATGAGATTTACAACAATACTATCAAACAGGTTAATGAAACTGTAGAATGTTTGATTTTTAGGCCGACGGCAAAATATTTTTACATATTTATTTAATGTAACTTTAAAGAGAGTGATACAGTAGTAGATATATAATTTAAAAATAAAAACCCAAGAACGCCCTCAAACCTGAAATTGTTCATTGTGTTACAGGCTAAGTTTGATTTGGCAGTGAAACAATGTACAGTCTACCCCCTTACACCATCTTAAGTAGAACACATTATATAAATATGAACAAAGTGTAAAATTAAGAATTAGGAAATCTCCGCATATAATTAAACAAAGGTCAAACTAAAATAAAAAAAAAGAATTTTTAGAGGTGGATCAAAGGTTATGAATCCAATACAGTGTAACACGTGTTATTTTCCATTTTAAATGTGTTCATGAGAAACATACACTGTCTTTTACTAAATTGTACAAAAATGATAGTTTCAACTGCACTTTATGTTATCAAATAATACAGTATGATGTAATGACTTCAAAGACAAAATAAATGTTTAATTATGGGACACTAAATTATTATCAATTTTTTTCAAGATTTTTCGTTTACAGTTACATTGTACATGATATGCGATTGGCTAATATTTCACGATTAATACGAAGTACTGATGGAGGCAAATAATTTCTAGTGTTTTCATGAATTCTCCCATTCTTTATAACACATTTCAATGGGATATGCATATTATTCTGTACCTGGAAATGAAACATTTAAGGTCTAACTCAAGCATTTTTTAGGAAAAGTGATATATTTGACATCGTAATATGAGACCAACTCAACTTAGACCTATATTGCACTAATGAAATTGAACTACCTGAGATAGTCTTTTATTTTAAATGCAAATCAAAGAGGCAACAAGAGCCATGTCAACATGGCCCCATGCCGAATGTGTTTGCTCATTGGAAGAATGTATATGTAGTAGAGCAGAATAATTCCATTTTAAGAGGTCTTTTGGTAATGAAAACTGATGGCTATAGTGATTACAGATTTGAAACCTATGTGAATACTGATGGCTGAAAATAACAAAGGGCAATAACTGAAAAATAATGCAGGTATGTTATCATTCTTGTGTGCTGCATCCCTCCTCAGTAAAATCTATCCACCTATGAAGTTTCAAGTTTATACCTCAAATACTTTTTGAAAAAAATTGAATTGAAAAATTAAGTATGAAAAATAACAAAGGGAAATAACTCAAAAATTATAAAAGGTAGAGTTATCATTCTTGTGCAGTGCACACCTCCTGAGTGAGATCTATGCACCTATGAAGTTTCATTTTGATATCTCAAAGGCTTTTTGAGTTATGCTCTGGACAAAAATTAATTTTGAAAAATAACAAAGGCAATAACTCAAAAATAATGCAGGGTAGAGTTTATCATTCTTAAGCACTGCACTCCTCCTCAATGAGATCCATCCACCTTTGAAGTTTCAAGTTGATACCTCAAATACTTTTTTGAGATAAGCTCTGGACAAAATAGCATGAAAAAAAACAAAGGGTAATAACTCAAAAATTGTATAGGGAAAGAGTTATCATTCTTGCGCACAACATTCCTCCTCAATAAGATCTATCCACCTATGAAGTTTCAAGTTGATACCTCAAACACTTTTTGAGTTATGCTCCACTCAGGTGAAAAATTAGGTATGAAAAATAACAAAGGGCAATAACTCAAAAATTATGAAAAGTAGAGTTATCATTCTTGTGCACTGCACACCTCCTGAGTGAGATCTATGAAGTTTCATGTTAATATCTCATAGGCTTTTGGAGTTATGCTCTGGACAAAAATCAATTTTGAAAAATAACAAAGGGCAATAACTCAAAAAACATGCAAGGTAGAGTTATCAGCTGATAACTCAAATACTTTTAGAGATATGCTCCGGACAAAAATGTCGGACGGAAGGACGGACGGACGGACGGAGACTATTTCTATATCCTCCGCCGAAAATTTTCGGCGGGGGATAAAAAAAGCATAAATTACCCTAAAATTTTCACAGAATGTGTATTTGACCTTACATTATAAAAATATGTAAAAAAGTGATTTTTGGTAAAAATGTCACTTAGACCAGTATTGTGCTGAGCCATCGATTAATGATTTCCAAAGTTCTCTTGAAATAAATCAACTTGAATGGAATGACATGTCTTAAATATTTTCAATGGAGAAAATACAACAATTCACCAAAAATGAAATTTTATGCAAAGCAATTATACAAACAAATAATATTAAGTGGTTTAACTGATGAAAACATTTCGAACTTTAACATAATCATGAGTTATCTTACCAAGTTATTAAATATCTCAAATTTGTAAAAGATTAAACCTCATTCTATGTGACACTAATTAAAAAAATTGAATAGCTGTAAGACAATACCCTACACTTTTGATAAAGTTAAAACTTATTTGTTTATTCATGTTTTTGTTGTTGTTATTGTTTTACCTGCGTTACTGAAATTGGTTTCTTGATTTTCATTTTATTTTGATAGTTCTAGGTTATAAATGGTTAACAGTTAAGAGCATAGAAACCTCAAAGCTGTCTTGTCAATATAGGTACTCAAGTTAAGTTATCTGAGATATCAATGTATTTGGTTTCTTTGTTTGTTTGATTGAGTTTTATGTCACACAGTAAAGGTCATATGGCAATGTTCCAGCTTTACTGGTGGAGGAAGACCTCAGGTGCCCTTACCTGCATTATTTCAGGCACGAACGGGCACCTGAGTAGAACCACCGACGTTCCGTAAGCTAGCTGAATAGCTTCCTCACATGAAAGAATCCAAAGTCCCTGTTGGGATTCGAACCCACAGCAGTGAAGGGCAAGTGGTGTGAAGTCAACGACCTTAACCACTCGGCCACGGACGCCTCCAATGTATTTGGTACTTCCTATATTTCACTCATTGATATAGATATAATGTAACTCACCTGATTTGGTATCCATGTCAACAAGTAACTTATCAGCAGCAGTGGACATACATCTTGCAGACCCTCTGTAGTGATTGATTGTTTTATGCAGCAAAGGAGATGAAAGTATACGTCTTAGGCTCATTGTTCCTCTAGAAGATAAAATGAATTATCAAATATTTTCAGATTACAGTTTTATCCCGTGTATATTAATACTGAGTACATAAATAACGTTTAAGGTGTGAAACTGCATGAGCGATATTGGAATCATGTTCATGTAGTACATTCAGAATTTCACACTTAAACATTATATATATCTATGTACTCAATTTCTTACATCAAAACAGAAGAAGATCAAAACAAAACTGTACAGGAGAATGAAGAAGACCGGGAAAGCATCAGATATAAATAAATATAAAAACTTTAAATCACAATTCCAAAAATTAGAAAGACAATCCTACCATTCATATGTCAACAATATTATTGAAGTTGAGGACACTGAGAAAGACAAACAACCGAAGCAAAGTTTTGGAGCTTCATCAAGTCACATCGGAAAGACAACTCGGGCATTTCTTCACTTAAAGATAAGGGTCGACTCTTCAATGCTGCACGCGACTAGGCCAACATCTTAAACAAGCAATACATGTCAGTTTTTACTCATGAAGCAGACAGTAATATCCCAACACCAGCAGGAACACCTTTGCCGGATATGGACACCATACAGATCAATGAAGAGGGCATCTTGAAGTTGTTACTCAACATCAACCCAAGGAAGGCTCCAGGTCCTGATAACATCCCAGCACACATACTAAGTGACTGTGCTTCTGATCTGGCCCCAATCCTCACTATGATCTTCTAAACCTTCATGGAGGAAGGTAACGTACTGGACGACTGGACCCAAGCCAATGTCACAGCCATCTACAAGAAAGGCTCAAGGCAGGATCCTGCAAACTACCGGCCGGTCTCCCTGACAAGCCTATGATGCAAGCTGCTCGAGGCTGTCATTGTCAGCCAGACATCGGGAAAGACATAACATCCTACATGATTGCCAACATGGTTTCAGAGCAAGGAGAAGCTGGGAAACTGGGACCGGGTACCACATCAGAGACTCCTCAAGAAGGCCCAACACTATGGTATTCGTGGCAGGACTCTCCAATGGATCTTCTCCTTCTTAAATGGCCACACCAAGAGAGTGCTGGTCCAAGGCGAGTTATCTGAAGAAGCCCGTCGTTAGCGGCGTCCCTCAGAGCTCAGTACTTGGGCCGCTTTTGTTCCTCATAGTCATAAACGACCTTCCAGAGGGACTACTCTCAAATACTTGATTATTTGCAGACGACTGCATCCTATATTGCCAGGTCAAGTCCATCCATGACCAGCGGCTACTTCAAGCAGACCTTGATTCTCTCACCAGGTGGAAAACTTGTGGGGCATGGACTTTCACCCTCAGAAATGCAGCGTCCTACAAGAAACCAGGGCGAAATCTCCTCTCCGGACCAACTATATCCTGAAAGGAATAACTCTGGTTGAAGAACAGACATCAAAATACTTAGGTGTGGGCTAACAATCAGGCCTTGGCTGGAAACAACACATTGACAAGATCACCAAAAAAGCTAACAACATGCTAGGCTTCCTAAAACGTAATTTGAGAAACACAAGCTGTGAAACTAAGACAAACGCCTACATATCTCTTGTTTAATCTAACTTAGAATACTGCTGCACACAAGACTTTATACATAAAGCAGAAATGGTACAACAAAGAGCAGCACCCTTCACTACAAACAGGTACCATAACACCAGCAGCGTCTCAGATATGCTACATCATCTAAATTTGGAAACATTGGAGACACACTCTCAAAAGCTCCAACTCATTATGTTTTACAAAATCATCCATCAACTTGTGGAGATAGATCCAAGCCACTTCTTAACACCAACTAAACCCAGACCAAGGTCGCCACACAGTACCCGATTCTGCAATATTCATCGTCCACTGACGTTATGAAGTTTAGCTTCTTTCCTCGTTGTATTCCTCTGTGGAACAACCTTCCAGCATCTGTTGCTGAGGCTCATTCTTTGGCATCCTTCAAGAATGTGAAAGGCTTGAGCTATGCCAGCAGGGTCTCGACCCTGGGCAGCGCCACGGAAGCTGGATTGGTCTTGCCTAGATGTCTGAAAAGTAACTGTGTACAACTACTTTCTGCTACTTCATATTTTTTATTTTCCATCTAGCAAAAACTATATGCGTGTCCTTTCTTTCTATCCTATTTTATTTCTCTTTTGTCTTTTTTTTGCACACCATTAAAGAAATGTCAAGCTTGACAGTTTAACATATAGATGTAGATGTAAACACTGTTAAATTAAAAAAAATAAAAAAAAATGGACGAGGACTGCAATCATCACAGACACTTGGGGTGTGGAGCTTAAAACGCTGTTAAAATCCAAATAAAAGGTATACTTGTCAATCCCAGCACATGTACTCGGATCATATATGTCAAAAAAACTTAATATAAGCTGTTTTGAAAAAATTCATACAATTGCGTCGGTTACATACAAAATGAGAAGAGCATGAGTATTAATACATCTTTATCATGTGTATATTAGTAGTATTATTATATCAACATATATCCCACACAATGGTTATATCAAAAATTCTAAAAAGACCCGCATTTTTCCCTATTGAACATAGAAGAACCGAAAGTGTGTGTTATTATGCAGTAGAGTCACTGTTTGACGTTCTATATTTAGACATGTGACGTAATCATTATACATGTGACGTAACCACTATAAAATCCGACGTGCTGGCAATAAGTACGGAAACAAACCAGGCGCAATTTTGCTTAATAGCAGGTACGGCAGCATTTATTTGTTCATATCGTGTTAGAATCGAAATAATATATAATACAGTTTGGGATATATTATTTCTTAAATAAACAGTAATGAAAAAGACACAAGACCAAAAATAACATGACAATTGATTTGATACACTGACCTAAATTATCGTGTAGATTGTTGATAGGTGGATACTGTACTGTTATATGCATGGTACAAATGATAGTTTGATTTTGCATGTGAATTCAGTGCCATATAATGTTATCATTTTTTTCTTATTTATAAAAAAGGCCAATGTATGAGATCAATTAGTTTCACATGGCTACATTGTAAAATACAAATACATCATTGAAATATTTAAAAAACACATATTTCTAAATAAAGTATATCATCCAGTACGTTTCTTATTTGCTAAATAAATAAATTTTGCAAGTTTACACAGAATACTTGTTTGATTTGAAGCTAATGTTCAATCCTTTAAATTTTTGTAAAGATGGCCAATTACAATAATATTTTGGAAGGCATTCTTTTCTTTCATCAGACCAATACAAAGTGATATTCGTCTTCTACTTCCTTCATATTACAATATACCCATTTTCTATTACAACATTCTATATTTCGAAATCTACCTTCCTCAATAGCGAATTTATGTGCTGAACAATAAATTATAAAAAAAATAAATTTTAAGCTTTATCATATGATAGATCTATCACCTAAAATGATAAAACTGCTCATTTTAAAATTTACTTATTTATATTCATGAACAGGCCATATATTCCCGAAGTTCTTTTTTTTCCCTTACAGCAGCTAAACAATGGATGCCCCCTGTCACTTGATATGCAATTATCCAATAAACCATTATGATTTAGGTGTCACCTTCCCTGGCCAGCCTGGTCATATGGTCTAGTGCACTAGAAGTGCACACGGTGTGCACTTCTAGTTCAGCTCTAAGTGCACTAGAAGTGCACAAGGGTGGGAAGTTTAGTGTGAACTCAACTGTACTGGTATTGCAAGTCACTTTCGTCAGGCTCTGTAACACCGCACTTTGAGGTCCAAAACGCAAATTGTCGCGAAAATATATAACAAACGAATAAAAATGTTTAATCAAAAGAAAATTCAAAAATATTCTATATAGAGCATAAACAGTCTCTCTTGGCTTATCAGATTTTACAGTTGGCAACGGTTGACAACAATTTTGTGTTATAAATGGGTATTTTTACTTCTATCTGACAGCTTTTCAACCCTTTTTTTATGCAATCCGGTCAACTCGTCCCGTGGTCAACTCGTCACCTATTTGGTCAACTCGTCCCCTACTTTTGGACAACTCGACTTGTCCCTAATATAGTCAACTCGTCCCCTACTTTTGATATTATGTTATAAATCAATGTCTTTAAATAGTTCTTTTAAGTAAAATCTTAATGAATTTGATTGAACAAACGTGCATTTTAATGTTCTTTATCTAAGCGCACGTGCATAGCTTTGATGTAAAATTACAAAAACAGGTAAGTTTACAAACATTTAATCAGTACAATGATATTTGCAGTGGATATTAACTGATTTAAAACATTTAGCGATAAAATAATTTTCAAATATTCAATTACCATGTAATAATTATTAAATATTAATACATGTATTAAATTTCCATAAATAAAGCTTTTCACTCATCTTAAAAAAAAAGAAAAAAAGAGGAGCTCAGAGTTCTAGAATTTTTTGTTGTATTATAAAACAAGTCAACGTATTGAATTAACCAACCTTTTTTCATTTATTTGACCATACACCATAAAACAAATTCGACATTAAATTGGAGACTAAAAATTATAAATAACAATCTTTGGCACGATATTCACGCAATTTGTAATTTCAATTTAAAGACATGCGTTCTTTAAATATATATATATACGTATCCAACCACATTAAAGGAAAATATCTTTGTATGTGTCGTTAATCCTATTATCAAATTACTAGGTGTTTAATTTGGCAACAAAGGGCACGTGTCATGATATATTTAATTAACAACTACATTGTGATTAATATTAAAAATGTTTTGTTAAATGGAAAAAAAGCGGAAAAAATATTGAATGATTTAAACCGTCTCGTAAATAAAATTTTACT